CCCAAATAAATAAAAATGCAAATGAGTTTGGAACAGCGGTACATGATAAAATTGTGTGAAATTGGGTGAAAGTGCATCAGAAACTTTGGAAATGGTGAGGAAAGCTCATGGAGAAGCTACACTATCATCTGCACAAGTGTACCAATGGCACAAGCTGAGATCAACTCAACATGGATCTTTCATCACGACAACACATGAGTCACAGTGCTTTGGCTGGCAGAGTTTTTGGCTGTAATAGCATCACAGTGCTTCCCCATCCACCCCACAGCCCCGACTTGGCTCTTTGAGACTTTGTCATCTTCCTAAAGATGAAGAATGGTTTGAAAGGACACCATTTTGGTAGCGTGGATAACGTTCAAAGAGCCACTACGCAGGCTCTGAGCTTGAAGACTTCCAGGGATGCTATGAAGACTGGAAAAATCACTGGGAGCACTGTGTACACTCACAAGGTGCATACTTTGAAGGAGACAATGTTCAATTGTAAATTTTTTCAATAAAAGAATTTTTAAAACATCATTCTCATTACTTTTTGGACACACCTCTTATTTTCTGGACATACTGGCTCTTATCAGATGGCCTAGTTTTAATAACAACACATCGTCTGTGTGTAAGAACACTCTGTTAGCCAATGACTTTCAGTGGAAGAAGGCAAATGATGTTATTAAAAAGGAGATATTTCAACAATCATTCATGCTATAGAAGTGTTCTGGCAGCATTTGAAGATACATGGTGAGAAATTTCATCATCATCGTCATCATCATCATCATCACACCCATTGCTACTAGGCCGCAACAGAAATAGCTCTTGGTATGACATTAATGCCCACACATATTCTCTACTCTAATTTAAAAAAAGATAATTGCTGTGCTCTGTTTTCTTGCAATAGAGGGCACAAGGAGGTTACTGTGTTCTGTGGGCACTGTGCCAGGGGAAGCGGCCCACAAAAGTAGGACCAGAGAAGGAATCTAGTAGCTGAGGCAAGTCTGAGCAGTTGTTAAATGCGAAGGTGCAGTGCCTGAAATAAAGAATAGGGACACTTCCCATTTAAGGGTCCTATTTTCCGTGATGTGATACTAAATGGATTGTGTCAATATGTTGTCAGTTGGGAATGACCATCTAGACTCTGAACATTATTTTTTCTATATTTAAAGAGTTATAACCTGCCTTTTAGAGAAAATCCTCCCAGGCTGACATACAAAGAAACCTAAAAGCAGAAATCACATGGAACAATAATAACAAATGTGGCTACCATATACACAAAGTCCCCTGTAAAATCCTAACTCAATTATTGGCCGAGACAAATCATTCTGTAAGATAGGGCCTGGCAATCATTAGCTGGAACAGAGTTCCACATGTGAGGTGGGGATGCAACTAAGAAGGTCCTGTTATTTCTTTGTGCCCTCTGACCCAGCTGCTCTTACACAAGTAGGGTCTCTGATGCCAATCTCGGAGCTTTCATGCAGGAGTAGCCAACCTGTGGACCGCCATATTTTTTACCAACAACTTCCATACTCCCTTAGATTTGGCTATTCTGGCTAGAACTGATGGGAGTTACAGACCTAGCATCTGCTGGGCCACAAGTTACCCAACCCTGTTCTAATGCTTCAAAAAGATTCACGAGAAGCAGAAATTAAACAGGAACTACAGTTTAAAGGTTATGCAATCCTGGAGAAAACTACATCTATTGAACATCTGCCTGTTGTACAGCTTGAAACTCAAAGTGCTTTTTCAGAAACAAAGGAAGCAACCTGAGTGACCTTACCATATGAATAAGCACATACATACCCAAAAGATTAAGTCTAGTCCTGAAGTTCAGCTAATGGCAAAAATGAAAGCACGCCACAATAACGGAGCAAATCAGCTGATGAGGTGACTACAGTATTACCATCCTGTATTCTCCTTTTAAAGAAGTAATGTTATTTACTTGGAAGGAGGCAGCTCAGCCAGAAGGATGCAGCCTCTCTAGTAAGGCATGCCCAAACATGTTCCTTATTAGAACACAACAGTGAAATCTGCTTATTTAGGCACTTTTGCTAAGAATGCTCAAGGGCTAAGTTGTATTCACATACTGACCCCAGAAGCCACTTCTTCAAACCACTGGATATCAGCTGTTTTAACTTGACTTTTTTTTAAAAAAGATAATGGGTCCTTTAACAAGGCCATGATGTTCCATTGGGTATCAAATAGCTGGAATCTGTCTAAAGAATTCAGCTGCTAATACTCCCTCCCCTGGCCTGTGTCAGAGTATTATAGAGATGCCTGTGCACACCCTTCTTTCAATTGCCCTAAAAATAATAGCCCTAAAAAGTTTATAACATGTGCAATACTAGGGAAATCATAATAACATTGATAACAACTGGATTTCCAGAATGAGGTGAAGGCTCAGCTGAATGATAAGCAGATATTCAACAAGTGTAACTTCCCCCCTAAGCACCTCCAGTGAGAAAAGCTCTGACTGGTGGACACCTGTGGAAGGCATAGACAGCTTTATCATGCACGGGGAGGCTGATGCAGAGCTTTTCATTCTAAAGGTTCCTGCAGTTATCTCTCCATGTAACTGCAAACAGAGTTATAGCAACCTTAGAGATGCTTGTTACATCTTGATGGCTTCTGTTTACTCTTTTGTTTATGCATAGGTGTTTTTCAGGGGTGACAATCTGCAGAATCAGGGATCAAATTGGTAGGAGTGCAGCTGGACCAGGTCCAGGAGCCATCCAGCCCATTATTCTGTTCACCCAGTGGCCACAGGCAACCCACAAGAAGACATGGGTACAACAGCACCCTCCCAATCCAGCCCTGCAGGGTTCCTCTGATGGCCACACCCTTCCCTTGATTCTACCTACTTTCCCTGAGCACCAGATTTCATGGTTTCCTGGCTTTTGTCCATCCCCTAATTCTAAAAGGTTGAAATAACTCTCTTAGGGCTTAATTACTGACAAGAACAGCTTTAAGCTAAACTGTGTTGACAGTTTTAGCCCCATTGCTTTTACCTTCAGTGCCACCTGTCACTAGAATATGGCCCCTGGTAGTTTCTCCAAAATGTTTTGAAATAGGTTCAGCACCCCCACTTTAGCCCTTTGGAAATCTGATTCTCAGGCTAGTCTTTGTTCAATCAAGAAGATGGAGAAGAGAGAAGGGATCAAAGGGTGTTGTGGGGGGGGGGTGAGAAAGAATCTTGCCTAATGTGGTCTCCTTGCCATAGAAAAGTCACTAAAATGTTCTGGAATGTAATGAAATGCAATGTTATATAATTTGTACATACAGCTTAGGTTCTGTGACTGCAGAATGCCCTGTGTGGATAGTGCTGAGATCAGAAGTGTATGAATGTCAACAGAGTTGAAGATAGTGGCAGACTATCATGTGCAGAATTCCATTATGATCCTGCACCAATGATGTTTCCTACTGTCATTATACAGGCATTTGACAATACATGGGAAATGGTTAAATAATTCTACATTGAAGATCAACTAGAGGAGGAGTGAGGTCATGTCAGAACTTTACAAAGGCCTCTGTTCTCCACATCTTGCTCTGACAGTTTCTACCCCACGGTTCTTACTAGACATTACTATTCAGTCTCCAAAAGCAATTGCAAGTAACTTGAATTCAGTTTGAAATGCACAGGAATCCAGCTTAACTCAGTTGAGGGTCATGCAGAACACATCACCATATATTGAACACCTGTGACCCATAGGTGTTGTAGAGTTTTTAAAATATAATTAGGCAGAATGAGGCCTTCTCCTTGGCACATCTGATTTTGGGAGTAATGAAAAATCAGCTTGCTTTTTTTAAATTATTGTTGCGTTTTTACTGTCAACATGGACCAATGTGTGTGGGACATTTCCTGCTTTGGGTACTATGCACCTTGATGGGGCGGCTGGGGGCATTTACTGTCTCAAGCAACAGGATGTCTTGTGCCAGCCCTGATGCTAGCAATAGTTGTGAGCAGATTTGCTGCACTTTCAGCTGGAGTGGATTAGTGAGCCTCACACAATATAATTGGGCCACTAGAATGGTTCTCAGTTTTTGGGGTTGGTGGGAAGATTTGGAATAGTGTATTCTTACAAAAAGCCCATGGATGGGGAAGAAGGTAAACCGCTGAGGCTAAACCAACTGTAGTGTTCCCAGGAGCTCCAAAGTACAAAACCAGTTTTAAAAATCTCCTAAGGAATGGAGGACAGCCCTTAATTTTGCAGCATGCCAGTTTCCCAGTTATTTTCTGTTTACTTAATTAAAGTCTCATATAAAATAAAAACCAGGAGGGGAGGGACCCTTGCGAGTGCTGAGAGGCATCTAGAGAGTCAGTAGCCATTGGTGATGAATGATTGTAGGCCGAAACAGCTGAGGATTGCCTACCAGGACTTGACGGATTTAGGCCCCCTATTTCCACTCAGGACAGCGTGTGGTGGTTCATTCCTGAACTCGGGTGAGGGACTGTGAATGAGCTGAAACGTGTCAAGCAGACTTCCATCAGGTGCAGCCCAGCGCCATCTCTCTGACCGCACGCTGCACCTGCAAGATTTTTGCTTGTCAAACGATCCCGTTAGCAATAGAAGCCCTGCAGGAGGCTGAAGAGATCGTCACGGTGCTGATGATGCACAAAATACCCTATACGGCTTTTTCACGTATGACCCTTCGAGTCACGTATAAATATTGTGAACGCTAGACGGATTCCGCCCCCGCCAAAATAAGCCATTTAAGGGGGGGGTCACGTGTCTGGCAGTGGGAGCACAGACGGGACCTCCTCGAGTCAGCGCGCAGCTCGCCTCTTGCGGGAAGGCGAACTCCTTCTCGGGTGGAGGGCGACGACGAAGGGAATGAGGTACGTGTGCGAGAGCGATGAAGGAAGGAGGTTCTTTGGAAATTCCTGGGAGGGAAGGAGAGGCGAAGCCTCTCCCCTTTACGAGAAGGGGCGGGGCCTCGGGCTCGCTTTATATATTCTGCGATCTACTGCAGCCTGCAGAGCGGCCGTGCGCCTTGGCTAGAGAGGGCGGAGGGAGTTGCTGCGAGGAAGGTGAGCGCTCATTCCCCGGGCTGGCGGTAGGCGGATGTTGGGCTGCCCTGAACGCTGCGCGGGGAGGGGTGGTGGCGGCGCCTGTGGGCGAAGAGTGGGCCAATTTTCCAAGGTATTTATGTCGCCTTTGGCGTCCCGATAGAGCAGCTCTTTTTAGTTACCCCCCAAAGCACACGCAGGTGGTGTTGACTTCTTTGTGATGTCCTTCACGCCCTTCTCTCCCCACCGCAATTACGGACTAGGATTAATTTGCTTTCCTTCCCGGTTTGGGACCTCTCCCCCTGGGAATTTTAGATACGCTGCTACACAGACAGTATCACATCCTTTTTCTCCGCGCTCAATGGTTATCAAACCGTGTGTGTTTTAAATTGACGTGGAGCGTCCTGATGGAAAAGGGGTATAGGCGAATTGCCAGTCTTGAACCTAGGCATTATAGCTCCCCCGTCCCCACCCTTTTTATCCCGAGGCTGCAGTCCTTCGGAGATCCACCTGTTCTTTGCACCTTTAGCCGCTCCTCCAACAGGGCTGAGATTTTCCCCGCAATTCTTTCCTTTCACCTCCGAGGCCGTCTCCTTGCTGAAAAGAGGAGATGGGGTGGCGGAGGGTAGACTTGAAATGAATTCGGAACTAGAGAGTTACCATGAAAGCCTCCCAGGAGCTGGAGGAGACTTTGTCTGTGCGTTTCTGCCTGAAGTGAGTGTGACTGCGGTTGGATGAGGAAAACCGGTGGCACCCCCGTTCGGAGAATGAGATCCACTCACGCTTAGCGTCAATATCTGTGCGTCGGGGGCGTTCAGGGTGGTAGTGTATGTTATCCTATTCCAGAAGAGTCGCGATGTATAAACTGAGCGTTCATGGAGGGCGGGGCAGTGATGCGCGCTTGTTTGCACGTAAGTCGAGAATTCTTTGACACACCGAAACCAAAACATCTCGGGGCGGTATACGGAGGTGGTGGTAGTGTTTGGCTCATGGCTAGGTGGCTGATAATCGAAAGACGCGCGGAGCGACTCGCTGTGGCAGGAAAGGGGGAGCCTCCTCCTCTGATGACGAGTGGCTGGCTCGGGCGCCTTTCTTGGAAGCGGCTTCGGCGTCTGAGCGAGGCAGCGGCGATGCTGCGTTGCGCCGTCCCAGAAGGGTAGCTGGACGGCGGGCGACTGTGCTGCGCTAGGGGAGCCTGTCGGGGCATGCCCTGGCTCGGCGGCAGCGACGGCTCTGGCTCGGCGGGAGGGGTCAGGAGACGGCTGTGACTCAAGAGTGACAGACAGTCGCTGTAGGGCTGATGTAAGCGCCCGAGGCCCAGCCCTGGCAGTTCCATCCTGGGGCTGGCGAGGATGTTTCTCGGGAATTCCTCCACGGCTCCTTTGCCTGCTGCCACTGCCTTCCCTGAGCGGAGGCAAGCACACAGACTCTCTGGGTGGGACTTGAAAGACGCACGAGTTCGTTTGACTCTCCGCCCAGCCCTCCAATGTTCTTCTTGGCTGGGAACTTCTTGTTCCCGACCCGAGTTTTATTTTTGTGCTCGCTGTTTGGCGAGGATCAGCCCGATTGACTACGCTGTCAGGCGGCGGGAGAGGAAGCTAGCCGCAGTTGTTTTCCTTAGTGGGTGCGAGCCATCCACGGCTTGCAGCTCCCTGGCTTACCTTCTTGGCGCACCACTGGCTCCTCACCCTCCTCTTAAAGAAATTGCGGGGACACAACACCTGCCTTACATTCTAGTAGCCTACTTGGACTAGACACGTTGAAAGGCATGGCAACTTAAACCGCATTACTTTTGGGGGTCTACTCTAAGTAGGACTAATGGGAGATAACATCTCCATGCAAAGCGGTCTTGTGGGCTTCGAGCCGAAATCCGAAATGTGTCGCTTTCTTGCGAGCGATTTTCGCTCCTACTCTCTCCTTCAAGGATGCGGCGGGGGGCGATTGAGGAAGAGGAGGCGAGGATAACACCTGCGATAGCCCTCAGAGAGCAAGCAGGGAGGGGGAAGGGAGGGGAGGCAGAGCCGTAGTAAGCTGGCTGCTTGCTTCCTTGCCCCAGGCAGAAATAGGTCTGTGTGGCAAGCCGGATTTCGCAACTTCCAACGCGGCACGTGACGCAGCGACGGTGGTGCCAGATGACGTAATCCCCGAGCGGAGCGTCTCGCACACCTCCCGGTCGTCTCCTCTTACGATAAGCAGGCCCCGCCCCTCCTGCCTGCCTTCCTGCCTGCCTTCCTGTTTGCTTTGCAGCGGTGTGGGGCGCGCGGAGGCGCGGGCTCCGGCGCTACTTGGAAAAAGCGCGGGCAGGAGGCTGCTTTTGCTTCCCCTCTGTTTTCTCCGCGTCTGAGTGAGGAGGCCACCAAGCGGTCACAGTCTTTGCAGCAGCCATGACTTACGCTGCTTTTTTAAAAGCTGCTGCTTTAATAGCAGTGACCTAAATTGTGATTGGCTGTTTAGCAGGAACAACGAAAACGTGTTTGCAGGGTAAATAGAAGACTATAACGTTAAGTTGCAACCAGGGTGACGACCTCCTCCTACCTGCCCCTCTTCCATCCTAAACCGGAGGAATCTTAATTTATACTTGACATACCCAGTTACTTTCATGCAGGACTGGAAAGCCCGTCTGTCCGAAATCCTAGAGCCTCCCTCCCCAACTTGGTGCCTTCCAGTTGCTCTTGAAAGCAACCCCCAGAATCCTTGCATATTGGCCATGCTGGCTGGGGATCATAGGAATTGAAATCAAGAGCCTCCGGATCCCTAAGACCAAGGAGAGTTGCTGCCAGTGCAGTCATCAGCTGGACTTTCTAATAGAGGACTTGGGTTTTCAGCAGCTGCATGGCAGGCATATTCACTTCCCCAGTTTAGTGGCAGAGAAGTTGCCCAGAAAACTTGTCCAATATTAGGATCCCTACAATGGAAATGCAGCAGTCCTAACTGTCACTTCAGATACACCAAGTTAAGCACATTCTTTGGAATTGATGTTGAGGGTTCATTTGCAGGAACCTGCAAACATGGTTGTTGTAAGAAATGCATGAGCTTGTGGCTTCGCAGACTAATTTGTAGTGTGGGAGAGTGCTTAAATTGGAGGGCTGATAGTGCTACCAACAAGGAAATGTGCAGCTATTCTTTTTTTTTTTTTGGAGGAGGAAAGGTGAAAGTGGGAAAACCAAGGAGGGTTCTAAGTGCAAAATGACATCATCTGGATTCCCCCATAAAATCCCATGAATGAGGCAGCTGATGGCACAAAAGCTTCCTCTGGAAACACCTTAGTATGCTAGTGTGCGTGCGTGCAGACACCCATGGGCATATCTCACTTTATTTCAGTTCCTCTATTAAATTTATATCCCATTTCCAACAAAATGTTAAACTAGGGAATGATAATTAAAATATAAGCAAAGCAAATCAGTGCATCAATAAAAATTAAATAGTACCATTAAAAGCTACTTCAACTGAAAACAAAAAGGCTGTTCACATAAACACGTCTTGCCTTGCCAGCAGACAGCAAAAGATGACTTATGTAGGCAGGGAGTTCCAGAGTCTGGGGACCACCACTTGACTAAACTTCAGAGGCTTCTGTGGTGGAGTATCTGTATGTGGGAGTGGATTCCCACGACAGGCTAACCGCAGGCTGGGATCCAACCATAGGCTGTTTGAGACTGTTGTTAATTATAGGTTGTAATGGTCATGTAACTTGCCTTAATCACCTCCCCACCACCTGCACACAGCTTTGAACAATCTTTGCCTGACAAAAGGTGGGGTTACGCATTTCCATTGCGCTTGGTTCTTGTTTATAACTAGCTGTTCACTGGAAAAAAGTGGGAAATGCAATTCAGAGCTTGTTTGGACCAACACTGTACAGGGTAAACAGCTTTCGGAACTGAAATTGCCTGGTGGCTTGAAATGATGACTTAAGATAACAAGTTGAAGCCTGTCCTGGGTAACAGTGCTACCTGCCAGGACTTGTTCCTGGTATGCCTGAAACTCTCAATGAGGTCATCCAGCATAGCTGTTTATAAAGAGACTGTGAAGGCTGCTGCTATTTTTAATCTCTTTGCCTCTTCATCAAAGAACAGCAACATCCTCATACATGTTGGCCAATATAGATGACAATGGTTCGGAAAAGTACTGGCCAAGCAAAATGGAGGAAAGGGTATGCAGCTCAAAGAAGTGTCTTGGTGACCTGGACAGTCATTACACAAATGTGTGTATTCACAATAAATGTGAATTGTGCCTTCAGCACTGTAGAAAACCAATTTAACTGCTTAAGTCAGACCATTTTTCTTGGTTCATCAAAAGCAGAGCAAGGAGTGGGGACTCATCCTGTGCTGGAGGAGGTTACACTACCTTTGGAGACTAAGCTCTGTGCTTTGGATGTATGGCAAGACTCTGCCCTGAACCTGAATGCCCAGGTTTTGATGGTGGATATGACTGTATTCACACAGCTGTTCACAGCCAAATTTACCCCTTCCTAGAGATGCCTGATCCAGCCACAGAATGCATGCCTTAGGACACAATCCTGTACATGTTTAGATGGAAAAGAGTCCTGAGGAAAGCTGGCAATTGTAGGCTTTTTTTGATTAAAAATACATAGGATTGTATCTTTATTATATTTATATCCTGCTTTTTCCTGCAAGGAAATCAAGTCCGCTTGCAATCCTCCTCTCTATGCTATTCCCAGAGCAACCCTGTGAAGTAGGTTCGGCTTGAGAGTCTGTCTGGCCTTATGGTAGACAAGGAACTTAATGGCTGAGTTATGATTGGAATTCAGATCTTCCCAGTCCCGGGCCAACAACCATTATACCATACCAAATATTAGAGCCATGATGGATCAGAGCCTGGGTCCATCCAGTCCAGTGTTCAGTTCACGCAGTGGCAAACCAGCTGCCCACAGGATTCCTCAAGCAGGCATATGAGTACAACAGCACCCGTCTTCCGGTTTATGTAGGCATACTTCCTCTGATAGCAGTGGTGGTAGACAGCCATGGAGACTAGTAGCCATTTGTAGGCTTCTCCATGAATTTGTCCAAAGTAAGGGCCACTGCTACATCTCGTGCACAGTGTGAAGAAGTACTTCCCTTGATCTGTCCAGAATATCCCACCAGTCAGCTTCATTGAATGATCTCAGGTTCAGGTATTATGGAAGTTGCTCCAACCCCATGATCATTTTAGTTGTCTTTTTCTCTTTTTTCAGCTCTGCAATGTCCATTTTAGGTGCCATCATCAGAACTGCACACTATTCAAATTGTGGTTGCATCAAAGATTTGAGAAAGGGGAGTATGATCTTGGTGGTTTCACTGTCAGTTCCTTTCCTAATTATGCTGAACAAAGAGCTTGTTGTTTTACAGTAGCCAAACACTGAGCTGTCAACCACAATCCCAAGATCCATTCCCTGGACAGTCACTGGCTGTTAGCTCAGATTCCACCCACTTGAAATCGGGATATTTTTGGCCCAACATGTGCTACTTTTACATTTGGTTACACTGAGCCACAATTGCCATTTTAATGCCTGTTCTCCCAGCTCTGTATCCATGCTTGTTTTAACTAAAATAATTTGGTGTCATCAGCAAACTCGGGCACTTCACTGCTCACACCTAATTCAATACCATTTATGAAAAGGCATTGGTCCTAATTCGGAACACTGTGGGACCCCAGCATCCCTTCATTGGGAGAAGTTGCCATTTATTTCCACTTTGCTCAGTTACTGATCCATAGGAGGACTTCTCCTCTTATTCCATCTGCTGGCTTTTTCAGGATTCTTATGTCAAAACCCTTTTGGAAGTGAACAATATTTTATCAGATCAGGCTTGGCCACATCTTTATCGACATTCTCAAAGAACTTCAGAAGTTTAGTGAGACAGGACTTACCTTTGCAGAAACCAAGTACATTCCTTTTCAGCCTAGCTTGTCCCTCTATAGGCATGCAGATTCTATCTTTAATAACACTTTCAACCAATATAAGTAACTGGCCTGTAATTTCCCAGATTACCTTAGATCCCTTTTAATAATGGTGTTACATTGGTCATTTTCTACACTGGTCCAGAGGTCTTTTAGGGAAGGTTCCAGTAACCACCCTTGTCTGCAGAGTGCATGAGGGGTAGGTGGGGAAGGCAGAGATCAAAGCATGCTGAATTCAGTTACGCAGGTTTGTCAGTGTGGTGCCCGAAACTTTTGGCACCTGTTCATTGGTACAGTTCTAATATACATGGGAACTGGGTAATCGACATTGCATATGTTCAGGAGAAGGAGTTTGGCATTGACAGTGCTGAAAGAATGCACAGTGCAGTTGCAGGCCTCTCTGTTCAGGAATACTTTGTTCAATAGTACTTCCAGGATCATAGAATAGTAGAGTTGGAAGGGGCCAAGAAGGCCATTGGGTTCAGGCTGTCCATCTGCCTCCTGAATGCAGGAGAATAGTGGGAGAGCCAATGACCTCCCTAGATGTGATCTGTTCGTATTGTTCTAGCAGTCAGGAAGTTCTTCCTGGCAGTCAGCCAGAATCTGGCTTCCTTGCACCCATTATTCTTTGTCCTCTACTCTGATGATTGAGAAGAGATCCCTTCTTTCCTCTTTGTGACAAATTTTCAAGTATTTGTAGAGTGCTATCATATCTCCCCTTAGTCTTCTCTTTTCCAGGCTAAAGAGGCCCAGTTCTTTCAACCTCTCCTCATAGGGCTTTGCTTCTATTCCTTCAATCATCCTTGCTGACCTCCTCTTAAGCATTCCAGTTTGACTGGATTTAAACTGTGGTGCCTAGAATTAGGTATAATACTCAGTACTGCAGGTGAGGCCTAGCCAGTGCTGAGTGGAAGGGAAGTAGTACTTTCAGTGATTTGGAAGTGAAACTTCTATTAACGCAGCCCAAAATAGCATTTGCCTTTTTTGCAGCCACATCACATTGTTGACTCATATTCAGCTTAAAGTGCTCTCATGAGCTTGGGTCCTGCTATCCTCAGACATGCATCTGGTGGTGGTCCAGGATGCTTTATCTTCTGCAGTGGCATCTTCCCTTTGGAGGTTCACCTGCCCCATGCTTCAGGCCTTAACTTGTACTGTGAAGATGATGCTGATTTCCCAAATGCTTGAGCTGGTATAATTAGCCTGGCATTGCTTATTTAAGTGATTAATATTGTAATTGTATTGTTGGCAGGCTTGGAGCAAAAAGTGGCCTATACCCTTTGAAAAGGTTGCTGCTGCTTCTCCTAGCTGGAAACATGCCGCTGTCTGAGAGCAACGTCCCACGACCTGCTTGCAGCCGGAAGCTTTGCAAAAACCTCTTTGGATCAGTCAATCATGAACAGCTGCAGAAGGACTTCCAGTCCTTGATGAGAACCCAGCTAGAAGAGGCCCGGCAGAAGTGGAACTTTGACTTTGAAACAGAAACCCCACTTGAAGGCCCCTACAAATGGGAAAAGGTATCCCATCTAAAGATGCTGCCATCTCAAGACCTGCTGAGCTACACAAAGGAGAACTGTACTGGGGAAAAAAGCTTGAGCTCCCCAGTGCTCCTCAAGATGCAACCAAAGACAGAGCAACCAGTACCGGTGGGTCTTGAGGCCTGCCAGACTGGCTCTCCAAGATGTTTGAAACGAAAGCAGACAAGTATAAAAGGTAAGAACATGCTTGTCCTCTGCTTTGCTCAGGATTTGTTCATGGCTATATCACTAGCGCTAAAATAGAATTTCAATTCCTATTTCTTTCAAATGCAGCTCATGACCACCTATATTTGATTTGTCACAAATATGAGAACATACTATTACTACAGAAGACATTAAATATAATGGCACGGCAGCTGCCCACAAGTGTATCTTAGCTGTTCATGTATTGGATGTAGACTTACTGGAGAATATAGAGCCCATCAACAGTATTACATAGATTCTTAAAGTGAAATCTGGTGGTAGCAGGCACATCTGAGTTTCTAGTCAGAGCAAACAATTGCACAGTGCCAAAATACTGGTGTGTTTTGTTTCATTTGCCCAAAGGGGGGTTCTGTATTTAGTGGCAGCAGGTAAGGTTATAGGTGGAGTATTTGTCAGTGAGAATATGTAACCTAAATAACTGTGAATAGGTGGGACAAGGATGTACAAGTGCTAGTTACAAAAAGCAGCAGCAGCAGCTTTGGCACTAGAGGTCTAGAAGTTGCAATTTCATTTGCACTCCCAGGGAGCAAGCCTCATAGAACAGCTTGGGACTTACTCTAGAGTAAATATAGAATTGCCCAGTTGGGTTGTTCCAGGGCTTTGCCTGGCTGTTCTAAAGTCTCTGAGCAGACTGCTCTTACTTAGCCTTGTATAAATATTTTCTAAGCATGTCCCCCTGATACATTCTATCTCAAGTTGAGTTTGTCTTTATGCTTTTTTTCCTCCAGACTTCTACAGCTTGAAGAAGAGAACTATCCCTTATAAGTCAAACCCGTGAGCATTACACTACAAGCAAAATAGGTCCATGTGGTCTCTTGGCTGAAGATGCTGACCTGTCTTCACCACTGTTGCGGGGAATGGCTTACTTGGATACAATCCTCAGTGGAGTCACCAGGATGCCTATTTGAAGGGTGGCCAATCAGAGTTGGGATACCTGCCCTGAAACTTCACAGTCCTCTTTTATTATGAACCGTTTAGTGGACTAGTGTAACACTTCAGAAGGATGTAGAATTCTTTTATTATTTTTGATAGCACTGGAGCTTTGTGTGCAATGGAATATTGTAAAGCCTTAAGATAGACTTAAATATTGCTGGGGAAAAATGTATCTACAGTGCTGAGTTGAGGGGGTGGGTATGATAGATGCAGGAATTAACTGCTGCAAGATCTTGTGGCCAATATTCTGTCTAGCAACTCAGCCACTTGCCTCCTTTCATATATTTGCCTCAGGTAAAAGCTTGGTTGTGGTATGAATACTTTGCTGTGCAAGGCCTAAAATAACAGTATCTGTAAGGATAGTGCTTTCCTAGGTCTGCGATCTTACTGTGTTTCCTTATGCTAGGCTGAAACAGACACGGTGAGGGGGGAAAAAAAACTTCTCTGGTCAAGCAAGCAAATCGTAAAATTGCTTTTCTGAAGATAAAGACCTTGTTATGCTGAGTTCAGATACATCACACATTAATAATGGAAGGATGTTGAGTGTGTAATCACTACAGCCTTGATGTAGCACTTTCCCTGGGCACTTCCTGCCATTGTGGAACAGTTCAATAATACTGTTAAGCCAGATCACACAAGACACTAGGCTGAGGGGAATGTGTCAGCCATGGAAGCCATAAATCTGAGCTCTGAAACATACCTTGCTACGTTCCTACCATATAGCAGAGCACAGGCTTGCTGGTATAGTTTTGCCAGCAAAGCTACCCAGCTTGGCTTCTGTGGTACAAAACTTCTAGCATACTGTTATGTAGCAGTTAGTGAGCAAGAATAATGTGGGTTTGGCTCACAGTGGGAGCTAACAAGGGATGACGTGTTTGTGCTGCTTGACTTCCTATTGCCTCATCTCTCTGGCGTGGAGCACTTTTGACAAAGGATGATAAAGTACTTAGTTTCCATAACTTCCATAACTACCTATGATCCTGCCAGCTCTCCTCAAAGGGGGATGCCTTTTTAGGCTAGCAGTCACATCACTTCAAACTACAGCTCTAAGTACTTGGTGTGAGAGAATGCCAATGGTAGACTTTCCTGTTGGAAGTTGGGGATAGCACTCCAGTTCCTTCTGGTACCTGATCGTCAAACTCCCAGATCTTTGTAAACAGAGTAACACTAGAATCAAAAATGCTGGTTCTAGAAATTCAAAAACAAACCTCTCAAAGGGCAGTGTGTATGCCAGGTCTATAATTTTGCCAAATTATTATGGGTTCCTCACCTCTATGCTGTTGGAATAACTTGATGGAGACAGTATTTCACTATGCAAATCTTGTGAAGCCTGATGCATTTGGGGAAGCTGCTGCTTTTCTACCAGAGTAAGTAGAAGCTGGAGCAGGTGTTCAGGCCCTGCAGTTCCATTTTTAGTTGAACAGTGCTCTTCATTTGACTGCCGTCTGCCTTGCTGAGGGGGCCAACCACTGGGGAAATGTTCTGCTTGAGTTAATTCTGACTCGTGGAATTGATCATGGGTAAACCACACTGGGGTGGTGGTGCATTGCTGTGAGGCCTCCATCACCTTTTTGACACTGGGTGATGGTTGGGAACATAAATGACAAGATGCGCTGCATGTTGCACAGGCTTGGAATAAGGGAGGGGAATGTCAGAGCAGCAGGAGCTGAAGTATGAGCAGCCATCTAAGGCTTCAAAAAACCAAATCCGGCTTGTGGAAGCATTCCTGGATGGGCTGCAAAGCCTTGGTTGGTTTAAACATGAAGCACAAGTTTGCATGGTTACTGTGAGGGCGGCGTCACAAGTTTGCTTACGAGACTGAAAAGCCCATGACTTTGGGGATGCAGTGTCATCTGTACCATGCATGCAGGTATGTGGTGTCAAAGAGCTGTTCTTTTGGAAGCACAGCATCAGCCACTTAATCATGTAAGTTTGCCTATGGCCCTCTGACCTTCTCGGTTAGAGCTACCATGGATGGGTCTGGCCATTTCAATTGTTGCACTTTTACATTCAGGGTAATGCTAATAATGTTCAAGCACTAATCCATTTGTCAATATGATGCTGCTGAACTGACTAAACCTAGGGCTTCAAATAAAGCCACTTCATAATGGAACAACACTTTGTTGGTGTGGATTTCATGCAGTGTGTGTGTGTGTGTGTGTGGTTGAGCGCAACTTGAAAGTTGTGGCATAAGGAGGGCTCATGCTCTGGGAATGGTTTTTTCAAGCAGAGGTGATGGGAGGCAGGATTGTTCTGAGACAAAAGGGGACTACATTATTCTTCCTACTAGCTGCATTAAGGAAGGTGAGTCAAAGTCTTTGGCAGAAGCTTTTATATCCACGATGTCAGGGAGCTGCAGAGGGTGCCACAGACATTCGCTTGCTAAAAACATGGCACACATACTATCAATTATAGATATGTGCATCCTCATCAGAGAATTTAGCATTAGTAAACCAGCTAGCAAAGCCAGAGTTTCCTTTGACTAATAATGCATTTTGTGGTGTCCTAAGCTGAGGTCTCCTGATAGCAATAAATAGTCTCCAGCTACAGTTACATGATGGAATGTTCCCAGACATTCTAACTTCAGAGGGAAGTTCCACAAAATGTCTTCAAAAAATGTTTGGTTTCTGTGAAGGAAGTGAAAGGTGTGGTTGGGGAAACCTTCCTCCAAGCCAGACATAGCAACTTGATGGGTGGTAGGGGCCAAGGTAAGGAAGTAAAATAGGAATATATCCTAGAAGAACAAATTTTACAAGATAGTAAGGGACCAAGAGTCAGATGTAGGGGTTTGAGACAGAAACTTTAAATAATGAGCTGAGAAACTGGAGCCTAAAGGAAAGTGTGTGTGTGTGTGGTGGGGGGGGGGAGCACAGGGTTAAAAAAAGGAATGGGGAAAATGACCCCCCAAATTCTATGAAGAAAAGCCTTTTTCATTGCTGCAGTTCAGATGAAACTCATTGCTTGACTAATCCTGTGAAATTGGAGTTGAACAAATTGGCTTCTATGTACATTTCCTTTAAGGAATAGTAAGTGTCCTGAGTGAGGCTTCTGAATATTTCAAAGCACTGTAAAGAAGTCCTTTACAAAAAATTCTTTGCTGGAGAGAAACAAAATACTCTAAAGGGAAAAATATAGACTACTAAGAACCAGGGTTTATTGCACCATGACTTGGAAAAGAAAGCACTTTTCCATAAAGGAGGAATTCGGTGCAGAAAGTGAGGCAAACTAGTGTTCTTGGAAATGTTGACCTTGTAGAATGCATAATTGATCATTTATCTTCTACAGTGAAAATCGGTTAGAATGCAATTACTTTTTTTCAAAGAAAGTGTGCTAGATAGCAATGGCTTGTCAACAATCTGAGTAGAAGAAACTGGCTGATAGCTGGTTAAATCAGTTTAGAAGAAATAGTAATGGTATGACAAAATAGTTCTGAATAACCGTCTCAGACTATCTTAGGCTTGAGACAAAAACCTTGCATCCAGGTTTTGTCAAAGAAGAATATCTTGCATTCAAGATAACTATATTCTTGCTAATGCTACCATAAATACATTTAATATTGCTGACTTGTTACACATTTTTGAGAAAGACAGTTATTACCTTCAGTTGTGAAGTTTTTAACACTTCCATTCCTTTGAAATACAGCCTTTTCAGAGCTGAGATCAAAATTAATTGCAGTTGGAGAGATTCTCCCAAGGTGTATCTATTTTTAAAACTTTCTTCTTTAGAACTGCTCTGTTCTTGCACCAAGCCAGCAAGATTTTCACAAATATCCGTAGGACAAGCAGTTAAATAAATTGCAGGTCCGTACTCTCACGTTGTAGCCAAGTCCAGTTGAGCAAGCAGGAAAGTGACAAGAGCATTTGTATAGGTTGATGAAATCAGTCAGCAGCCACAAGCTCCCTCTTTTGTAGTTGTGCCATCTTCCACTTGAAAAATAAGGAACCATCTCATTCTAGAGGTGTTTTGCATTTTGAAGCAATTGAAACTCCCCGAGGTGCTCCTTGATGGTAAGTTCTTTTAACAGTTTGGCCTGTGTATAATTTCACTTTACAGCTTGTGCCTGGACCATTTCAGTTGTGATCTCCTGAGCAGACTTCTAGACTAGTGAAAGAGGAGTAATAAACACTGTGTGCCCGAAAGGCTTTTCTTTACAGTTCTATTTTACTTGAACTCTGGAAATCTCAAGTGCTAGTAGCTCCCACTAACCAGCCTCTAAATTGGTAAACTGTAATGTTGAATTGCTGCTTTTTTTGAATTGTTCTTTGTGATGTTGAATTGCTGCTTTCTCTGTTCCATGAGAAGCTGTTACATGTGGACAGCCATTAACGGTTAAAACCACAGAAACCCAGCCAAAGTCAGAGTAATGGTTAGAGCATCTGAGTATGACTGGAGACAGTCTGGTTCAAACTCCTATACAGCCATAAAGCGATGGCTGGACAAGCTTGGGCTAGTCACCATTCCCCAGGCCTCACAGGGTCATGGTTAGGATGAATTGGATGGGTGGGAAGGCTTCAGGCTTGCAGAACTGACTTGCTTTTTTTTTCCTATGAAAATCACATGATTGGCCGCACAGGAGCTGTGCAAAAGATACAGAATTAAGGAATTCTGAGCCTAGATACTTATTCTGAATATCAGAACGGACAGAGCTCACAGTCCTTCCACACACAAATCTGATCTCCCTAAACTTTCTTTGTTTCAGCCCAATAATTTAGGTCATGCATGTGTCATTTTGTTGCTGCTACTGTTAAATAACTGGGAGTTCAAAATCCTTGCTGATCTTCTGCAGTTGTAAATCACCCAGAGATCTACTAGTTGACCCAGATTTTACTTTCTGCCCTCTCCTGCTGTATTCTAGCTAAGCTCCTTGGGGGAAGTGTGTGATATAAGTGCAATAAAAATTGAAAAGTTTGACAACCCTAACAACATACAATATGGCAGTGCAAACTGATGAAAATCCAGGTCAACAAAATTTTGGATTGTGCAGGAAAGTGGCTGAGAAGGCATTTTTCTCCCTCTCGCATAATACTAGAACCCTGGGTCATCCCATGAAGGGAGAGTTAGGATAAAAGGAAGCACTTTTCCCACAGAGCATGTACTATGGAATTCTCTTGTGTATTAGTGATGGCTGCTAATTTGGTTGCTTTTAAAAGGAGATTGGAGAAATTCATGGGGGAGAAGGCTATCAATGGCTACAAGTCCTGATGGCTATCTGCTAACTCCAGATCAGAGCCAGTATGCCATGTGCACCAGTTGCTGGGGAATATGGGCAAGATGGTCTTGTTGCACTCATGTCCTTCTCAAGAATTTTTTGTGGCTCAGCCACTGTGTAGAGAATGTGGGATTCGATGGACCCTTGTTGGATCCAGTGTGGCTCTTCTTATGTTCAGAGACTTTTTGGAAATTTCACATGTCTGGGCTCTTGCATGCAGAGATAAGACCTTTCATCTTATATCAGGTTATCCAAGTTGTCTTCTGTTGTAATGTTGAATAGAGTACAATAACTTTTGAGTATGTAAAAAAGTTAAGGTCCCATCCAGTATATTCTGCTGCCTGAGGCAGGACACCAAATGGTACCCTCACTCTCATCAAGATACTTAGTACCCAAGGTCAATTGTATCTCTGTTCCTTGAGAAGCTCTCACATGTGGACGACTATTAACTGTTAAAAACACAGAAACCCAGTGAAAGTCAGAGTAAAGGTTAGAGCATCTGCATATGGCTGGAGACACTCAGGTTCAAATTCCCACATAGCCTTGGGAATTTCCCATACTTGGGAACCTTAGGCAGAAAATCCCACAACCACCTCTTCTCATCTCCAGCAGGAAAAATATGACTAATGCAAGTCCCATTGAATTCTACCTGGAGCTTGGCTAAATTTGACTCTAAACTGATAAAGAATCAGTGACTATTTTCATCTTTTTCACAATACCAAATACCTGCTGCCTGCAGCAGCCACCTCAGCCAAAGTTAGGGCTGGCCCGGAGAAATCAGTATTTACAAGAAAAGAAGAAAGTATTAAACAGGGAACAAGAAGCATCTTTCCAAGAGAATCCATTTCTCAGCTCACTGTGGCCAATTCATATAACCTCACCAGGCTGGAGTCATAGAACTTTGAAATACATGGTCAGCTATGATGACAGTCCAAGTGGGGGTCATCTGTTAGGAGCATTTTGTTGTCATTAGCAGCATTTTTCCTGTATATGTGAACAATACATAAATATGGAGTGGAGTTACATGTGAGGAATCATCTCTTTCATTGCCTGTCTGAATCCAGACTGGTTGTTTACTCAACTCTTTATAGCTGCCGACTTGGGAAGGTTCTCCAGCACTTCATTGCTGAGTTTCTTTGGTCACTTGCACACAGAGTTCAACTCCACCGATCCATATCTCAACATCTCCAGCACCTTAGGGTACAATTCTGTTGTACAGCTTCATAAGCCCCTGAATGTAGTGGCTTACACTAGGCAGGATGGGAGGAGTAATGGAGGCAATTTTGCTACCTCATCTCCATGCCTTTCATTTTCACTAGATCTGTTTGTTTGTTTTTTGTGTTTGTTTTACTTGTCAAGCAAAAGCATTTCAAAGGAGAAGGGAAGGAAGCTGGCAAGCCCCAGGATAGTTCATAGTCTGGCCTCTCCTCTTCTTCCCTCCCCACCCACCAAAATGCTCCTTTTCTCTGTTCTGTTCTTGACCTTGGAGAGCCAGTGGGCATGGTTCTTCCCAGACCCACTGTGAGGGGAAAGGGAAGACAGAGTACGACTTGCGCCCTTCAAGGTGGGAGTGCTGTCTCTGAGCTTTGATCCAGAAATCTGAATCCTATAACCCTTCCAGTGCTACCTGGGGGACAAAGGATTACTCCTTAAGTGTTGTGTACCAAGATCTGCATGTCTGTTTGTTCACTATTGTGTTGTTCAAAGTGGGTGGTTGTGTTGTCATCTCAGCACGACAGACAAGCAGTTCTGTTCCTCTTTGAGGGCAAGCACTTCTTGTTTTCTCAGGTGCCCTTAATAAGAAATGTGCTGCTAAAAAGTTGTGATTTCTTATAAATGAATTCTGCATTTCCATCATTAGAAATGAAACTAGCCTGGAGGTCTAAATGGAGAGCAGATTAAGA